AAGGAAGGAAGGAAGGAAGGAAGGAAGGAAGGAAGGAAGGAAGGAAGGAAGGAAGGAAGGAAGGAAGGGAGAAAATGAAGCAGTAGGTTTTTCTGGTTTGGGGCAGGGAAAGAACAGGCACTATAGGTATCATTGAACAAGTTACTCACTGTAATACAGTACAAAATATGAAGACTACTCTTTAGGCCATTCACAATAATTCAAAAGATATTTCCATGCAGTACTCTAAGAAAAAATATGAAAACAGAGAAGTTCAAGATAAACTGTAGCAGAAAACAGTCCTGGAAATTCTGGCAGGTGCATTATCTGCTTGATTCTCTCATTTACTACTCACCTTGAAATATCAACAATCATAAAAGTCATAATAATTTTTATTAGTCTGATGACTACTATAAAACTTTAAAAGAGGAAGCAGAATATTTACTTTTAGCAAAACAAAGAAGCACCCATCATGTGCTAGTACATGTAGTTGTAGGACAATCAACCACAAACAACAGGGGACTTCATAGGTAACTTGACTCCTTTCATCCCAAACCGTGTTTATTTCATTACAGCCTTGTGCCTCCATTAACAATGTTTCCAAATATCTCTTTATCCTGGCTAAGTGTTTCCAAACATTGACCTTCAATTAGCAATAACTGTGACATGTATAACATGGAAATATTAGGCAATTAAACTGTCCAAAACGGTTGACCAAGCCATGCAAATTCTCTAAACATAGAGAAGGAATCAATCATGAATGTGAAGTGCACTTCTTAAGGATGAGATTCTAAGTGAGCATTGGGAAGCATAAGAAACCTTTACTAATGAACCTTCAGGGACCAGTTAGCACAGTTTGTTAAATTGGAATGCTAATTAGGTCTAGGCAAAAGTTTAAATCAACCTAAATGCTTGTTAGTTTGACCAATTACAGGTGCCCAATAAGTGTTTGTTTGAATTCAATAATTCTCTGTCCAGAGGGAATATTCTGGTTCATGAGTGGCTGAATTGAAAAACAGAAGCTATTAGTCATGAATAAACTGCGTATAAAGTGGTGCATTTCTGCATTACTACTGGAAGTCCAAGGTCACGGTAGTGATGGCTCAGTAAGATCCCTTTCTTTTGGTAGGTCCTATGCAGTGATATTTCCAAATGGACCTAGATTATTCTGAAGCTTTTCCATGGCATGTGTAATATAATGGAAAGTACCAGAGTGAAACACCTAGTTTATAAGTCAGTCCAGAACTACCGAACTATTTAATGACAAAGCAACTCTGGAGCCCACTGTGCTGACTTGTGGGGAGTCTTTCTTCCATTGCAGCCCCTCAAATCTTTCTTGAGTCTATATTTCTCCCATTCCTACCCCCAAAGCCTGCTGCTTTCCACTCAGTGTATTCTCAAATATTGAGTCTTAGGTTGAGACTAAATACTGTAGCTTGTATGTAGCCTTTTGATTCAATGACAGGTGTCCTGACTCCACAAAACTATCCCAGAATTGTTCACGTCTCCCAGGTGCTAGAAACTGCAAAGGCCAATACCTCCCATAACAACATACACAAAGCTAGCTCCAATCGTGCAATTATACAAGAGCTGGGGGCACTGCTGCCGGTAGTATTTCAGGTCAAGAAGGATTCCAGTTTGTCTTTTGGGTAATTTAAAGCAGAGGCAATGAATCATTGTGTTAGAAGAAGCTACTTTGGTATCAGACAAAACCACATGGAGCTTAGGTCAAATTTCAAATTTGCCACTTCAGCAGTGGTAAATTAGTATCAAATTCAGTTGTGTGTGACAGAAAACCCCCAAATAAGCACTTAGCTAGGCTGTGGCCATGATTTCTACATCCCGGTTAGTAGGAAGAAGGAACTGGAGGCCCAATTTTTCTAAGGCCAACTGCCAGTAACCTCACATGTTATACATACTTACAGCTGATGGGACAGAACTTAGTGAAATGGTCTTGTCAAGGTTCAAGGAAGGCTGGGACATACAGCCTCCACCCTGGGTTCCCTGCTGAAAAACAGATATTCTTTTGCAAAAAGAAAATAAAAATAAAAATAAGGCAGAAGAGATATTGTATAGAAATTAAGTCTCTGTTTCATTCCCTAACTAAGGGATTATGGGTAATAATTTTGTGCTAAAATCTTCTTCTGTGATTTAAGATAATGCTTCTTTTGTGTGGATTATTTTGCTTAATCTCTCAGCAGTGTCTGACACTGTTCAGCACAAGCTCCTTCCTGAAACGACCTACTCTTCCTGTGACTTCCATGGCAGGATACTCTCCTGATTTTCCTCTGACCTTTGTAGCTCTTCCCAATTTTTATTGTTAATAGTGTTGCCTCCTCTTCCTCTTTCTGTTCCTTAGTGTTCCCATTGGATCCGTCCTGGCTCTGTCCTGGGATAGCTTCTTCCTCACTTCTCACTTTACCCATTTTCCTCACTGTTACCCATAGTGGAAGGAAGTATAGTGCACATTTATTGAATGCTTACTATAAACTAGGAACTATAAATGTGTTATATGTAGCATCTCACTTAATCCTATCAACAATCCCAAAGCTAAATACCATTGTTATTATGGAGGTTGGTGTGATTTGTCAACTGTTGGGCTAATGCCAGGTTTGGATTTTAGTCCAGAACTGTCTGACTCCACAGATTTTGAGCTTACCACTATGCCCACCCTGCCTTTCTCCAGGCATATAAAAGAAAACCCTACTAGGTCCCAGCACACACTCAGTTGCTTACTGGATACACCCACTGATGATCACGCACACATTTCACACCCAAGACGCCCGAGTAAACTCCTGGTTTTTTTATCACCTACTTATTGAGCACTTATGTGTTTAGGCACTGCTATAGGTGCTGTATCTACTGAAGTAACCAAAAGAGACAACTTCTAGTTTCATGAAATTTACTGTTTAGCCGAAGGGATAAACAGTGAAAAACAACGTCAGTTTGTGAGAAACGCTACAAAAAATGAAGCAGGCTAAATAGATAGAGAGATGGAGAGGGCTGAATGGTGGATGGAATAACGGCCCCAAGAAGATATTAACCCTCTAATCCCTAGAAGCTATGACTAGGCTACATTACATGGAACAGGGAATTTTACAGATGTGGTTAAGGTGAAAGATCTCGAGGTGGGGAGATTATTTAGAATAATGTAGATGAACCCAGTATCATCACATGGGCCCTCAAAAGTGAAAGGTTAGAGATATGTGACAATGACAATGGAAGAAGATGCAAAAGAAATTTAAAGCATGAGGGAGACCTGACTGCCATAGCTGGCTTTGAAGATGGAGGAAGGGGCCACAAGCCAAGGAATGTGGCATCTCATGGAAGCTAGGAATGGCAGTCAGCTTACAAGCAGTAAGAAAACGGGGACACAAATTTCTGCTGCTTTAAGTCACTAAATTCTGATAATTTTTTCCAGCAGCAACAAAAAATGAATGCAAGCTATTTTAAGTAGGGTAGCCAGAAAAGACCACTGTAAACAAAGACCTGGAGAGACAGCTGAGAGAAGAGCTTCCCAGGCCAAAAGAAATGGCTGCAAAGTGAGATGAACGTTGAGTGCACAAGGAATCATACGGAGGTGAATGTATCTGGAGTGAGGGAAGAGCTGTCGGAGCTGGGAGAGCAGGAAAGGCCTAGGCCAGCACATGTGGAGACGTGCAAGTCATGTAGTTTTGGATTTTTTTCTAGGCATGATGAGAGGATAGGTCAACAGGGGAGAATCACAACCTGACTTAACTTTTAAGTTTGCCTGTGAGTGCTGTAATGAGAGTGCCTGGATGGGGTAAGTGTAGCAGGAAGGCAGTTCAATTAGGAGACTCTTGATTATTATCCAACATTCCAAATAAGAGAGAAAGGCAGCTTGGACTAGGGTGAAAGAGGTGAAGTAATTGGTCATATACAAGATATATTTAAAAGTCAGAGTTCACTGTATTTTCTGATGACTTGGAAGTAGGGTGGGAACGAGAGAAGCCAGCATGGGCAACTAAATGCATGGTGGTGCCAGGCAACATGGAAAAAAGTATAGTAGAAGAAGGTTGGAGGGATCAAGAGTTGAGTTTCAGGCATAAAGTTTAGATGCCAAGTAGCCATCCAAGTCAAGATGTCAGGTTTTTAGGTATGTGAGTCTGAATTTAGAGACAGTCTGGTTTAGAGGCATATTACTCCTCCAGATATGTCCACATCCTAATTCCCAGAATCTGTATGCCATGTTACATGACAATGGGAGATTAAGGTAACAGATGGAACCGAAGTTGCAAAATAGCTGACCTTAAAATAAAGAGATATCCTGGATTATCTAGGTGGACTCTATATAATCAAAAGGATACTTAAATGAGAAAGAGAGAGGCAGAGAACTCAAAACCAGAGATATGGCATACTCAATTAGCCAATTCAGGCTTTGAAAATGATGAAAGCTGGTTTTGAAGTTGATGGAAGTGGTCATGAGCCAAAGAATTGGGGAAGCTTCTAAAAACTGGAACAGACAAGGAAACAATTCCTTCTGAGAGCCTCCTGAAAAGAACACAGCCCTGCTAACACATTGAGCATAGTTCAGAGAGAACCATTTCAGACTTCTGAGCTAAAAAACTGTAAAATAATAAAATATGTGGATTTTTTTTTGTTTTTTGGGGTTTTGTTTTGTTTTGAGACAAAGTCTCACTCTGTCGCCCAGGCTGGAGTGCAGTGACACAATCACAGCTCACCACCTCCGCCTCCTGGGTTCAAGCAAATCTCCTGCCTCAGCCTCACGAGTAGCTGGGACTGCAGATGCAAGCCACCACACCCAGCTAGTTTTTGTATTTTTAGTAGAGATGGGGTTTCACCATATTGGCCAGGCTGGTCTTGAACTCCTGACCTCATGATCCGCCTGCCTTGGCCTCCCAAAGTGCTGGGATTACAGGCATGAGCCACTGTGCCGGGCCAAATGTATGCTGTTTTAAGCCATAAAGTGTGTGGTAATTTATTGCCTATGCAAGGGGAAACTAGCATAAAGCATAATTTCTCTGAAACTTATTTTTCTTCAGTGTATCCTGTTGTAGTAAATGACATAAATTTCACCTGAAGTTTCACATGAAAGCATAAATATGTGCCATCCTTAATTCTTTCATTTTCTCCATGCTCCTAATCCAGTCAATATCAAGTTGTCTAGATTCTACTTACTAAATATTTAATCAAAGTTACTCTGTCTCCTTCCTCTACACAGGTTATGATCATCATCATCATTACGCTTTGGGAGAGAAGACAATACAGACCCACCATCTATTCCCCATTTAGCAACCAGAATAAATCTTCTGAAGTGAAGACTTCAAATTATTCCTCTCACCTTGAAACTCTTCAAGGTGATTGCTACTTTATAAATTCTCAACTGCGTAACATGGGTTAGAAGAACCTCCAGGGATCTTTCCCTGTGTGCCTTCAGGTCCCACACTGCTCCCTTCAGCTCGTTCTCAGTCTCCTAAATTGTTAGCACCCTGATATCAAGAACTTCTGCTTCAAGACACTCATCACAATAGTGTTCCGTTTGTCTCCATGACAAACACCGAGCGGGGCTTTTGCCTGATTTGTTCAGTACTCTATCTTCATTCCTAGCACCCAGCACATAGTAGGTGCTCAACCAATATTTGTCTAATGGTAATTGCTCACTGAATACCTGCGAATTACCATGTTTTAAATCTCCACCATCGTTCCTATTCCTTATGTAGTAACCATTTCCTGGAAAGTCCGTATAATGGAGCATTCAGATACTTCTAAAAAATTTCGATGTTTGTGTCTATCACCAATTTTACGTTCTTGACTCCCCTCAACTTTGGAGATAAACAGTAAGAGGTGAGAGACATTTTATTTTGATTTTTCTTGCATTTATCATGTCACTCAATCCTTCAACAAGTATTTGATATTTGTGCCAATCACTAGGTGTTGAGAATACAGTAAGTGAATAAAATCGTGTTTTCATGGAGTTTGCAGTGTGTGTGTGTGTGTGTGTGTGTGTGTGCGCGCGCGCGCGTGCAGTTAGGGTGAAATAAAGTCTGAAAATAAACAAATCGAAAGTTATATACAATATCAGACAGTGATAAGTGCCAGTCAGAAAGTGTGTGTGTTGTTAATTTTTTTGCTTAGAGAGTTCGGGAAAACTCAAGAGAATAAAACATCTGAGCAGGGACCAAGAGCAACCGGGGAGCCCGTATCACCTCACAGAGAAGCGTACAAGCTTAGGAATCTTGCTTTCTAAATTCGAACCGCAGGTGTCCAGTTATACCTGTACGCGACTGAACAAATACTTTAAACTTTCTCTTAGCTGTAATACTACATACCTCAGGCTTGTTAAGAAAAAATGCTCCGCAAGGAACTAAACAGAAGATTCTAACGCTGGGCCAAGACCTAGGAAAGGAACTCTGGAAACCGCGTTTCCCACAAACATCTCCCCTCTGGCTGGAGCGCAGTTGGTGATTGGCTACTCAACCCGTCCGTCCTTCCCTGACCAGGAGCCCAGTCCAATCCCGCCCGGCTCCGCTCGGAGACAGTTAGCCGAGTGGGCGGTGTCCGTGACGTTTTCTGACGTGTTACGTCACGGTGGGCGGAAGTCGCGGCCGCTGTTTTGAAATAGGGCCGCGTGGGTCTCTCAAGCTGGTTCCAACGCTAAGGCCCCGCAGCAGCCCAGTTCCGGGCAGACCCCTGACGCCTGCCCTCTGGGCTCGCCCGGCGTGAGGCTACAGGCGCGCCATGTCCACCCCTCCGTTGGCCGCGTCAGGGATGGCGCCCGGGCCCTTCGCCGGGCCCCAGGCTCAGCAGGCCGCCCGGGAGGTGAACACGGCGTCGCTGTGCCGCATCGGGCAGGAGACAGTGCAGGACATCGTGTACCGCACCATGGAGATCTTCCAGCTCCTGAGGAATATGCAGGTAGGAAGGGAAGGCGGGCGCGCGGGGCCAGCGGGATGCTGCTGGGAGGGAAAAGGGCGCTGATTTCCTCGTTACGTGGGGCCCGTGGACGTCCACTGGACTGCCCTGAGCAGACCTAAGGTGTAGGGTCGCCCCCGTTCACACTCAAGAGTGTCCCCAAAAGTCGGAGCAGTAGAGGTGGTGTTTTCCAGACCAGATTTCTGGAGAATTGAAGCCAAATTTTTTAGATTCGATCAAGCTCTTTAGTTACCATGTAAACTCTTGCACCTGTCGTGGCAGAGATGGGTCGCACTCCACTTCCCTCTTTAGGTTGCTTTAAATGTTTTTGTTGTTGTTGTTTTTCTAGCATTTCTTCTGGGGAGGTCCAAGGAATTGAAGAATTTACATTCTTTTTAAAAAAACAGTCCTTCCTGTTTTTGGCATAGTTAATATACAAGTAAACTTCACTCACCTAAAGTTTTGACAAATATGTGTACTCTACTGTGTATACTTGTGAAATTATCACCACAATCAAGATAGTGAACATACACATCACCCCAGAAAGTTTCCTCATACACCTATGACAACTTTGCTTCCCATCTTCCATCGCGAAGCAAACATTGATCTGCTTTCTGTAATAATAAATTTGCATTTGCTAGAGTTTTATATAAATGGAGTCTACAGTATGTGGGCTTTCTTAGTCTGGGAACCTTAACTAAGCATGCATCAATAATTCCTTTTTATTGCTGAGTAATGTTCCATTGTATCAGTATATCACCATTTGCGTACCTTTGCCGTTGATGAATATTTGGGTTGTTTCCACTTTTTGGCTGTTATAAATAATGCTGCTGACGTTATTTTGCTGACAAATTTTTGTGTGAACATGTCTCTCATTTCTCTTGGTCAGAGAGATATTCAGGAGTGGAATTGCTGGATCATGGAGTAGATGTCTGTTTAGTACTTTAAGAAACTTTTCCAAAGTGGCCTGAGCCATTTTGCGTTCCGATTATTGCTAATGGGAATGTAAACATTGCTGTTTGAGGGTTCTAGTTTCTCCTCATCCTCATCAACACCTGTTATGTCTTGATGCTTTCCAAATAATTCTCCCAGTCTGTCTTGTCTTTTTATTCTCTTCATATTATCTTTTGACGAACGAACATTTTTAATTTTGATGGAATCCAGCTTACTGATTTGTTCTTTTATAAATTTTGCTTTTGGTGTCATACCTAAGAAATCTTTGACTAACCCAAGGTGACAAAGGATTTCTATTTACTTCTAGAAGTTTTGTAGTATCAGGTTTTGTATTTAGGTCAACAACCTATATTAAGTTTTGTGAGTGTTTAAGAGAGAGAGAGGGAGAGAGAGAGAGAGAGAGAGAGAGAGAGAGTGTGTGTGTGTGTGTAGTGGCAGATACAGATCCAGGTTCATTGTTTTGCATTTGGATATCCAGCTGTTCCAGCACCATTTTGCTAAACCGTTTTTAATGATTGCTTATGTTACCCACTACATGTAGTAGATATTATTCTGGTTTTGCAGATGAAGATTCTGTACTTCAGAGAAGTAAAGTGACTTCCCCAAACCTAGTCAGTGGTAGGGTAGATTGAAACCAAGTTTTCAAAATCTTATAGCCCTTATTTCTATGGATGTCCTAAAAAGTGTTTAATTTCTTTTTTTTTAAGTGGTTGAGTTTTTCTTTTCCTCCTGATTATAATTCAGTTTTGTGGAAATTTTCAAGACTATGTGAAATATAATACAAAGGTGATCCAGGAGAAATTATGACATTCTTTGGCAATAATTTTAAAAATGAATAGAGTCATCTAGAGTGAATAAGGTGTGGATTAAATGATGTCTCAGAAATTAGTATATTTTTAACATTTTTTGTCCTGATATATGCTAAGCACTGAATAATGTCACATACCAAGTACTTTCCTTGGTCAGGTACACTGTTATAGGAGCAGTTTTAAGAAGCATTTTTATCCCTGTTTGGCAGTGAAGGAAACTGAGGCTTAAAGAGAGAAAAAAAATAAATAACCCAACATCACACAGGATAAATAGCTCTTCTTACTAACCCCTTTTTAATACTAACTTGCTGTCAATCTGTATTATTAAAAGATACAATACAGGTCCATGTTCTATGCAGAAAGAACTAAACTTTTTTTTAAAAAAAACAGTATTTTATCAATAACTAGATTACATGTGGACCTACATTCCAAGCCAACTTTTACGGGACTAAAATTATAAATGTGCACTTTTCATTTTGTGAAATCTGTGGTCTGACTCATCTAAGACCCTTTGGGGCCTATCATAATTGGCTTAAAAGGTAACCATGGGTTCCTTCGTTTCCAAAAAACTAGAAGAGGTGATAGAAACAGAATGTTCTTAACTATGTATAACCTAGTTATTTATTAATATATTTTAAGTATTCACATTTTAAAATAATTCTCTGTATTGTTGATCTATGAGAGTAAAGTGCTGTGAATACAAATTGCTAAGATTGTTTCTAAGCATTTGTTTTAAAGAAGTATACACTAGATGTCAGTTAGCCACTTGAGAGTCTGATGAAAACTGTGAACTCTCTTAGAAAAATAAACGTATACATGCATTTTGAAAATGTCAAGGGTTAAAGGAAGATTTAGGGACACTCTCCAAGAATCTCTGAATCTCAGATTAAGGGTCCTTGTGAAAGATTCCATTGCGTTGGTTCTGTTTATTATTCTTTAAATCGTTTTTTTTTTTTTCTTTAAATACATAGTACATTCAGAATTCAGGAATAAAAAAGGACAGTGCAGTGAACATTTTTCCTCCTATTCCTATCTGTTATACTAGGTACATAACCCCTCTCCACAGGCAGTGATTATTAGTGATTCTTATTACTTTTGTGTATCCTTCCAGATATTCTCTACATATTCAGCAAATGTTTATGTATATTGTTTCATTTCCCCCTTTTTGCACAGATAATAGTATATTATACACACCATTTTGTATCTTGCTTTTTTCAGTTGATATATTTTGGAATTTATTCATACTGCCTTTTCCTTTTTACAGTGTATAGTTTACACTGCATGGAAGTACTGTAATTTTTTAAACCAGTTCTCTAGTGAGGGCATTTAGCTGTTTTTCATCTCTCCCTGTTAAGCTGCAGCAAAAAACCACCTACACAAATGTGTACTGTACCTGTAGGATAAGTTTTTAAAAAATAGCTATGTGCTTTTGTAATTAGATACATTTTGATGAATTGTCCTCCACAGAGATTATACTAGTTTATGCTAAGGCCTAAGGCCAGCATAGTGAGTTATATCTTTTCGGATCCTTGATCACTTGATAGAGTGAAAATTCTACTTTACATTTCTCCTAGTTTGAGTTTGAACATCCCTTAAAATATTTATGAATCATTTGTATATTTTTTCCTGCTAAATACTTATTCATATTATTTACCCATTTTTCTGTCTTTTTTCTCATCTTTTCACCTACCATACATAATTGTAGGATTTAGCTATTTACATATTAGAGAAACTTGCTTTGTGTGATATAACTTGTGCTTATTCTTTTTCCCGGTCTTTTACCTGTTGGCTCTGCTGGTGGCTGTTTGCCATGCTTTTTTTTTTTTTTTTTAAGAAGTTGAATTTATTAGTCTTTTAGGACTTCTAGGATTTATGCCTAGTTAGGAAGGTCTTTCCCACTCAAATCAGGAAGAATTGTATAATTTAAAAATTTTCAGTCTTTACATTTAAAACTGTGATCCTTATGGAATTTATCCTATAAAGTGTGAGCTCTGGGCCTAGCCTTAACTTTTTCAAAAGGTTCACTGAATAATTCATTTGCTTCTTCCAGTGATTTGGGGTAGTTTTTATATAAGTGAATTTGTTTCTGGATATTCTATTCCACATAGCTGCCTATCTTTTATGTATTAATGCAAAACATTCTTATAATTTGTCAGGCTTTATAATGTGTTTACACTTATTTTTCAGAATTTCCCTGGCTATTCTTGCTTATTTTTCCACATATATTTTAGAATCAGCATGTTCTAAGAAAGAACTGTTAGCATTTTTATTAGGTTCATTCAGCCTAGAAAGACTTGACATCGTTATGATGTTGACTCATACTAACCAAGAACAGGAGTATTCTTTCTCTGTTTTTCTATAAAGTATTTTAAGTTTTTATCTTGAGATTTTAAAAGTTTTTTTTATAGGTGTTTTATCTTTTCTGTTGCTATTGTAAATGGGGTCTTACTTTGTTTCCCATGTTTTTGTTGGTTTCACAGATGAAAGCAGAGCTATTGCTTTCTCTTTGGACCTACCTCCTTATTGAATTCTTTTTAGTAGCACTTTATCATATTATTTGTAAATAGATTAT